TGCAAAAGGTTTTAATTCCTGGGATCCATGTGAGTAGAGAGTGCAACACTGTACCTTGTAGCCGAGGGAGAGGTCATCTTTTGTCAGGTAGTGTTTGATCATTATTGGCTGAGAGATTAACTGTAAGACCATTGAGGGTAATACCTGATGGGCTAATCTTGCATTTGCTCACAGTCCTTGGGTTTTTATAAGGTGGCTTGACCCAAGGACCATTTAGTGTAATTGTTGGGCCCATTAAAAGCCTATGATGATGGACTCAGGGGTTAACTGTCTCCTACAGTGAATTTAGACAGGCCTTATAACAAAGGCTGGGCTGAACCCTTGTGGTTGATGTGTAGATCAATGTTTGGGTCCCACGCTATAGAAGGATATCCAACTGGGCAGCAGTTTGGAGGGTAAGTGAGAAGATGGACTTAATGGGCCTAAAGCCCAATTCAAACTGGCTTAATGGGATTAATTAAAGGAGGGCGGTTCTGGGATTTAGATCAGTAGATAGGATAAGGGATTGTCCCTATCCACTCAGAGAGTTCAGATCCAAAAAAAGATTTGGATCAGGAAACTCCTAATTAGATTAAGAGGGCTAATCTTTATTTGTAGATAAGATAAGGGATTATCCTTATCTCTTAAAGAAAGTCTAGATCCAAATACAAGATTTGGATTAGGAAACTCCTAATGGGATTAGGAGAATCTCTTTTTAAGGTTATAAATAGGAGAGAAAGGCAAACCCTCAGTACACAACAAAAACCAATCAAACAACTGAATTCAAAGAGAGACAACACAATTAGATTGCACTTTCTCCTGCTCTTGCCGCCATACCAGTTCGATCTTTACCTATAGGAGCGATCAAGAAGTGTTCTTGATATTACCTTTTTGCAGAAAAGGTAATCAGAAGTCGTGCTCACTAGCCCTCCATCAGATTCTTGCTGAAGAATCATGTTTTTGCTGAAGAGCCATCCTGCTGATTCAAATTTATCCTGCACCGTGTCATCTTCGGTGAAAGTAGTCTTTGGATCTTTCCTTGGGCGTGAACACCTTCATTAGAGGTTATTGTTATTTCGTATCAGGTAGAACCCTCCACTCCCTTTTTGGTTACAGATCTGGCCTGGTTTAGGTTCAAG